CCGCCGACGACGACGACGACGACGAGTGCACGCGTCGCACCTGGTCCACGAGGAACTCGAACACGTTGCACTTGGCCTCGCGACACGCCAGCATCAACGGAGTTTCGCCTTGGATCGTCCTGAACCAGAAACAATTACAGTACTGTACTGTATATTGTATAACAGCATACACTGTGCGGCAAAAGTCCCGTTACAATGAAATTTACAGTATTCGGGGGACTTGAACGCTGAATCATTTCTATCTTAAATGATTCCGTCAGACCTGCCCATGATAAACTACATCTTGGATCTCGCTTCTACGGCGTATTCTCAGATTATTCTTATTTATTATTTTTACTATCATTATCATTATTTGAAAAAATGAGTGAATTCCTCAAGAAAAATAAATAAATACCATCACCTTCAACCAGGAATTCCATGCGTTAACCCGCAATTTCTTTATTCTGCTGGAAGGATAATTTTTAGAACCATGTTTGTCGTTGATCTCTTGAGAATTACACTGTACTTGGACATTTATATAAACTTGACGCAACCCCTCTCCGCTTATAACTGCAATGTTCATTCAGAAGTTAGCATTACATATCGATTGATTTATCATTCATATCAATGATGATGAGAGAATACATCAGTATACAGTTCATCAGTTCGGTTCATGTAACTCGAGTGATGCAAGCAGCGACATCTGAGTATCATTTACCGTGTCGTAAAGTCGGCGTTGAACTCGGCGAGCACTTGGAGCGCTTCCAGCTTGTTCATGCTCACTGCGTAGTGCACAGCTGTTCGCCCGTGCAAATCCGCCACGTTCGCGTTCACGCCGTGCTGCAACAACATGCGACACAAAGGAGCACTCTGCACAGAGTTGATGAGACACGTGCCGCCGTTGCAGTTGGCAATCTCCGCATCTGCCCCATGTTTCAGCAACAGTTCCTGCTCGCACGCATTATACATCACAGTAAATAAAATCCGTTACAACTACAGTAATATCCGTTACAGTGAAATAATTTTCTTTCCCTACTTTTAATGCTGGTACAGTATTTAAAAGGAATTTTTGTCTTGAATATATGTGTGCAAGTACAGTAGGAATTCTCACTGATTGACACAAAAATACGGGGAACACACCAACTTGTGCATGAATGAAAATAACATTTTAAAATTTTAATGCTAATCATCCTTTTCAACAGAAAATTTAATTTTGTATAGCATTGTACTGTCTTACAGGAAGTCTGATCGATGCTACAATCCGAATTCATTTAGCTACAATTTAAAAGTTAGAAATGACTAATATATGCTTTGAAAGAAAAGTGTGTTTAGGACGATACTTTTTTTTTATTTCAGGGAGCTAGAGCATACACTTTTTAATGAATATTGTAACAAGAGGAATCTGTGTACACATAAAAGACAAACAAAGTCGAGTAAGAAGTAGTGCTCTAGTCCTGTGTAAAAAATAAGTCTTTGCGTTACATCTAGATTTTATTTTATAGACAAAATGTTTAAAGTAATTTTTCCCATTATTTCATCTGAAGAAGCTGCAGGAAAAGCAGCTAGGATGTTCTTCACAAGTTTGTTGTACAGTACTGTATTAGAAACGCACTTGAATGCATCTCTTATACCTATACCTGTCTCCCCCCCCCCCCCCCCCCACACATAGTTTCAGTCTTGAATGCTCAAAGAACCACGAATCTCGTTAAATACAGTACTATTTCTCTCAGGTCCCTGATCCTGATGATGGGAGTTAATTTAAGGAAATAATGAGTATAGCAACTACAGTACTGTACTGTATATACAGCAGAGTACTGTACTGTACTATACTGACCACGATGTCGATGCGCGAGGAGAAACACGCGGATCGGATCGGCGTGGAGCCCGTGTCGGTGACGGCATTCACGTCGGCGCCGACGGACAGGAGGAACTCGACGAGGCGTCGGTGGCCCTTGACTGCAGCGTACCACAACGGCGTCGTGTTGTGGTACACTCGGGCGCCTTCCTTGGTGTAACCTGCACGCGTGCCATCCGGAGATTGATATTACGATTAATAATAATAATAATAATGAGCAGCAGCAGCAGCAGCAATAATGAGTATATGCAGACAAGCAGCATGCAGATACATACCTTTCTGGTCGACGTCCACTCGACAGACGTCGATGAGGTAGCGAGCGACACCTAGGTTGCCCACGCGACACGCCTTGAAGAGCGGCGCGCAGCCGCCACTGCTCACGCTGGCCACTGCCAACCTGTCCCGCGAGGACAGGCTCTCCAGGTCCAGCTTCAGGTGGTAGGTCAGGTCGTCGAGCTCACCGAGCACTCCGCATTGTCTGCATGAACCGAACCGAGAATGCAAGTACTTTACTGTGCTGTACTGATACAGTCAGGTAATAAAGAACCGCGAAGTGGAATCTGGTGGTAGGTCAGGTCGTCGAGCTCACCGAGCACTCCGCATTGTCTGCATGAACCGAACCGAGAATGCAAGTACTTTACTGTGCTGTACTGATACAGTCAGGTAATAAAGAACCGCGAAGTGGAATCAAATTTGAGAGTCTTATTACTCATCAACGTACGATGACACGTGCTACTTATTATACTACTCGAGTATAAATAAGGCTTCAGAGAAAGGTTGAATGCGCATTTCAGAATTGGAACATAGAGTACTGAACAGCAGTACGGCCAGACTCTCCACATATCGCGACGCCATCATGGTAGTGTGCTGGGCATGAGTATACAGTACGTTACAATATAATCGAGGTACTGTATTCATTTCTGTGTTTCCGCGGTTTCAGATGTTATTCGGCCAGTAGCAGGTACAGTACTGTTTATGATTGAAGCGACATCTTTGCGATTCCCCCGTGAAGGACAAAAAACCCCGGGCCCCCACGAAATCTCTCTCCAGCCAGTCAATAAATAATAATACGCGAGTGCATTTAATGAATGATTGACGCGTTCCAGCAGATAAAGGAAACGCCGCCAGTATAGTGGAAGTCCTTGACACTGCTGTCCCACGCATACACACACACACACACACACACAAATAGACAGACAGCACGAATTTCGACACACACACACACACAATACTAGTACAGTATAATAATAATAAAGGTCGCCTTTTCTGCTGGGTATATACTGTACATGTATAGAAAGTCGTTTGAAACAGTCAGCTCGAGTATCCCCCCGGCAGCATTTGACCCAGAAAAGACCTGTTTATTGTGAAATATACGTAACGTGAATAAGAAAACCTTGCAGTCTCGTCAGCAGCACTCGAACCGCGCGGCCTCGACCTTTTCCTGACACGACGTTCTCCAACATGTACTGTACTGTACACTAACGCTGCAACGTTAAAAAAAAAGTTTCGGACTGACCTGTGGAGCTCCTTGCTGAGTTTGTCCAGTCGCGGTGACGACGAGGTCAGCGAGTCCTTGGTGGTGATGGTGCCGGACGCAGCAGTACAAATCCCGGCGGTCGTGTTCGCACGAATCATCCTCAATTTCTTCCTACAGTGTGTGTCGTATTTCAATGCCCACCCACCACTGAGAAAATATACTGCATATATACGCGCGGATGCTGCGAGCGAACCACACACACACACACACACACACACACACGCCTTTGCGATGGGGTGTGAGGAGGAGGAGGAGGAGGAGGAGGAGGAGTACACACGACCGACCGAACCCCCGCTGCGGAATAATACAGTACAGTATACATTACGATACAGGGTATATGGAAAAGAAGACAAGGATCGGGTTCAACAACAGCTCCTCATCATTGGAATGATACACTGTATACATACTTATACAGTATTTGATTCAAGAATATATTCACGAATTGCTTGCTGCATTTTTTTTATTATTATTACACTATTATTATGATTATTATCCTCACTGTGGGGGCAGAATAAGTCGAGGGCACTAAACCGACCAGCCCCTCTGTGTAAAAAGGGAACGGAAAAGAGGAGGAGGAGGAGAAGATCATCAGTAGAGTTCAACAAACTCTCTCTCTCTCTCTCTGTGTGTTCTGAAGGAAACGTTGCACACTCAATATATGCAGTTGACAGGAAAAATGAAGGCCTGCTTTACCGCGTATTATTCCTCATTCTCAACAATATACTGTATGTATGGTTTTAGTAGCAACCCCCACCACACGATCTGCTGCAGCATATGATGCATGGTGTACTGTATACAGTACATTGGTGAGGATACCATTTGGTTATACATATTCAGGCATCTCTTTTCGTAATATACAGTACATGTATCCTCCTAATTATGTTTCAACATCCCGGCAGATTACCCTGTAATGTAATACAGTACAGTACACAGGTAAGATTTCTCGGTGTATCACGATCTTGTCTATATTCATTTTCTCTCTGTAGGGAATTTGATTTTTGTTGGTCCCGAAGATAACTCATTTCCAGACATTACAGGGTTCTCTACAAAACATTTTTCACAGGGCCCTCGAATTTTCTTGTTCAGAGTCCCTTATTTGATTCCAAAAAAAATGGAAAATAACAGTAGCTGTCTACAGCACTATCTTCAGCAATCAGGCCAAAAGTTACACAGCAGAGACGAATACATGACAATAATCTTACTTGAAACGATTTTGTTTTTCTTCCTGAGGAGTTCTCTGCAGCGAAATTATCTTTTATACAGCTAGGGGGCTCATCTTTGCGACGAAATTGCCTCTATTGCAGCCATTTTTTTCTTCTTGACCCCTCGGATTTAAATACTGTACTGTACTTGTAGTAGAGATGAGAGTCCAGCATATCCCGTGCACCATTCTTTATAGGATCACAGACAACCGAACATTTCCGTGTTACCACACAGTCGTGAACAAAACACGCAAGAATCTCCAACTTAATTAAGCAGCAGTATTGAAATTCTAACCCTAACTTACGGTATGTATTTTTCTTCATATCGACATTCCCACAATAAACGTTTTCCTATAGCTTCTCCTTGAGCAGCGCAATACAGTTTTCATGGGCAACAGTTAATAATCCGACGAAACGGTAGTACAGTAATAGCTCCGAATAAATACTCTATACAGTACAGTACTCTTTCACGCACACCCACGCATAGATACAATGACACACACGCACACACCCACACTTTCATAGACACAGGCATGAACGAAGAGAGAAAGATAGACAGTTGACCACCAGCATTTTCATGCAGAATATGTCTCTCGCATCACACCAAGTCTCGCGTGCACAACACCACCAACACCAAGCAAGCCTGTTGTAGCTACTGCTGCCGGTGGTGGTTGCCAACTGACTGACTGACTGACGGCGCCCCTCTCACACTGGTGGTGGTGCTCCTGCTGCTGCTCTCACGTCGTCGTCCCAACTTGGCCGCTCTTTTCGCGCGGCTCTTGTCCTCACTCACCCCCCCTCGTATCCCGGGTTCCCCCCCATCACTCGCGCGCGTATATATTCCGCTTATAGTAGTTGTTTTATTTTTTTTTACCACAACCCAGCCCAGCCAGCCAGTCAGCCAGTCGGGAAGAAAAAGGGAACCCGGGCCCAGAGCAAGTCCGTGCTGTACTGTACTGTATACTTTACTGTACCTTACTGTATAGTTCAAGTCCTTCTCTCTCTCTCCCTCCCTCCCCCAGCAAGGTATTTCCTTACGTTACGTGACTACCCTCCTCCCACTCGTCGTCCGTCACCACTCACCACCAACAGCAGCAAGCAGCAGCAACACCACCAACCTAGAATATTCTCTCGCAGGCTATTGTTCTTATTCTTCAAACCCGGAACACATGACCAATGTCACTCAATCACTCGTATATATATATACGGTATATATAGAACAGTAGATATAGACAGGCAGACATGATGATGGTACGTGGAGGGGGACAATCTAGCTAGACAAGCAGGAAGGGAAATTATATAAGTCCTGTTCTTTTTTTCCCTCTTTTCTTTCTCTTCTTCCAATAGCACCAGCATATTTTTGTAAAAGATTAAAGTTCAACTCTTGCTCATCAGCAGTCATCCTGCGGATGCACCAATAATAATAATAATTGATGACTTAACCATGCTGCAATAAGGCATCACGTTATTCAGACAAATACGGCGAATGTATGTACTGTATAAGTTAATATTCGAGAGGATTTTTTAACTGATTTCTACCTGAAACGCCTATGTATTTATACCGACAGTATTGTTGGAGAATTACAAATTTCTTTTTTCTAAAAGTACGGTACAGTGCAGTATTTACTGTTGTATCTATACCCCCATCACCCGTGATTTCCTTCTTCGTCGTGATCATGAACAGTATAGTGTGTAGGTGTCGCTCAAATATTTTCCGACATTTTCCGAAAGCGAGGCCAGCATTATACACTCCGTATTACTTATACTATTTGTTATTTAACGCAGCAGTGATGGAAAGTTAACCGTCGGCAGAGTAGGTATTAACGTAAATCTGATGCATTCTTCCTCATCTCATCCTTAATGCTGCTATGGGCTTACGAAGAGCCCTTGAGACGTAATTATCTCGTCAAATAACAAGTGTTTCTCATATTCACGACTATTTCGAGTCCAGCACTTGAAGTCTTTGTTCTGTCCATCATCATCATCATCAGGAGTATGCAGTTCTATACTCTATACTAGGATGTACCTCATGATCCGCCTCACCTAATCCCGGATCATCTTCCACAAAGGAAACCGCTTACGAATTGCGATGATCTCTGCGCGTGACAGCATGTACACAATACTTTCTATATCCTTGTACGTTCTGCTGTTGATGGAAGGTAAAGCACAATACAGTACGGTGAAATGGAACATTCAACCATCCAGCAACCAGGTGAGACGGACGTGCAGCAATAACATGATGATGATATACAGCAGTATTCATCCCACTATTTCTTTTTTTTTTATTCATGTTCAACCATTGTGTTCCTGATTTCTGATTATGCTGCGATGACAAGACTGAGTCACTTTGGGGGAGAGGAAAAAAACAACAGTAAGGGAACAAATTCATATACTGTACTGTATAGTGATTCGTAATTCTTATAGCTTGTTGCGTTTACCGGTACTTACTCAAGGTCATGTCCAGAGAAACAGCGACATCTATTTCTTGCACCGTAACCACTGGTTCGAGTTGGTGCATGCTACAGTAGAGTATATACTGTATATGTTGAACGATACACTGAGCCCTCATATTCAATACCATTCGATTGATTTGGGATCAAATCCGGAACTCGGGTTCGTCATGACGTGAACCGTCATTTCCGGTCCCATTGGAAGCGAACTACTTTTTTTTTTTAAATCTAGACTAACAATTTCGTTTGCCATTCCTTTTATTCAGAAAAAAGGCTAGATAAAAGCGGGAACTCAGCATACTGAGTCATAGTTGATGAAAATCAGAGTATAAAAAAAAACAATAACACAATACAGTACAATATTTAGAAAAGAAGGAGGATAGTATAAGAATATCGATTTTCAGGTATGGGCTGAATTTCATCACACTGATGGGCTTACTTCCCTCATACAGACCAATACATATACATACACCTACATATTATATATATATATATCTTTAAACCTTGGTACAATTATACTTTGTGATCCTTTTTACAATTTTTATACTTTTTGTGGTCTCACCATTGCTCTTGATTCCATTTGAGTACAGTACACTTTTGGCAACCCTGTAAAGTGGAAGGGGGAGGGGATGAGGGAACCCAGATGGTGAGAAGGAAGGGGAGGGGGGTTGGTTTTGGGGTGGGTGTATGAGTGCCTGAATATCTGGTGGAAACACCTGGATGCATGGGGGGTCAGGAAACGGACAACGTATACCGCCATGCATGGGACGTGTTCGTGATCCGCCAAGGTCGAACTTCGCCCCCCCCCCCCCCCCCCCCCCCCCCCCCCCCCCCCCCCCCCCCCCCCCCCCNCCTTCCCCCCCCCCCCCCCCCCCCACACTTCAAATACAGAATGTTCTTTCAACTTCACACAAGCGCAACGGCGACGTGAATACAGTATTACACGTACTGAACTGTACAGTACAATGCTATACAAATAGGGTGGGGGAAGTGTACTAAGAGACAGACAGGCGCAGTGCTGGGGACTGACGGACAGCGGCCATCAACAGCTGCTTCTATTCAAGAAGGAATCCTCAGCTGCTGCTGCTGCTTCTGCTGCAGAGCAAGGAAAGCAAAACATTGCAAGTCATCATCATCGTCGTCGTCGCAGCTTCCCTGTTCCCTCGTGGCATTGACCTTGAACGACGGTCAAGGTCCTGTTCACAAAGAAAGAAAAAAATACATGAATGCTTTCTCATCGTTCCCCTCACCGCTATCTCCTGCTGCGAAAGCCAAGCGAAACGCATTTTTCGGTTCGGGTAATGATAAGCCCGCGACGAGGCCATGATGGAACGGAAGTTGAACAACTTTTGAACGGTTGTAGGCGCGAAACCTCACGCGGGATACGAAGAATCTGAAGGACTAAGAATTGTGTGCTTGTCACAGATGTCACTGCTCTACTCTCCAAGTAAATCGTTGATCACGAAACCCATCAGCTTCTTCATAATGGGCTGATGATATAGCCGCATCATATATATATAGAGTAATTTGAAGATATTTTAAACTATCGATCAGGTATTTTAGAC